TTAAATTTTGATATCCTAAGACAAAATTGTAGGTAATGCGAGGCTGTTGTTCAGCCTCATATTGCATGAGGCTGAAACAGCCTTTTATTTCCTGTATTTTAGAGCAGAGGCGCCTTTCGAGAATCCAGATTCCATTTCAGGAAAGTCACATTTCGTGGTGATACATGCAATCTGGCTTTGTTGTCAGTTAGAGCAGGAGGGGGGGGGGGTCGTATCTGGACCCTCTTCGAGGGGGGGGGTCGTACCCACACCGCCATTTGACACATCCCCATGCTGTACCCTGCCGCCTCCAGCCCCGTTCCCGTGCACTGAGGCTGCGAACTGTTCCCAAATAAGGATAAAATTTCCTTGAGCATGGAACTTGGTATGTTTCCTCGTTCTGGTGTAATTCTCGATAGCTGGACAAATAAAACCAAATATTAACTAGAACGTTATTGGACGCCAGCGAGTCTTTAAATGACTTCCCTTATCCTTTTTTGGTGGTAGTCAAATGCATGGCCCATTCTCGATGGGCTGGTCAACACTCAGAACGTTTCATACCGTTCCAAGGACAGGTTTGTGAGTGCATGGAAGGACGTGACGTGACTCCCTCAGCATTTGCTGCAGCACTCAAAGAGACATTCCACGTCAACGGCGTGGGCGGGAAGAAAGAAACACTCTGCCTTTCTGTGGTGCCTCCTTCCTCTAGGCGGCAAGGAAGAGGGGTGTGTCAATGAAGTGAATCTCTAGTCAGTTCATACTGAGCAAGGAATGGGCCTTTCATCAAGATTCATGTAGTTGTAAGGCTTCAAGCATCAAATCTGGTCCAGAGTTGTGCTTAAGCGAACCACAGATTGGTGGTAGCGGAGCCCACAATAGGAACAAAAAAGGGGCTAGTATCTGTACTAGCGGAGAAAACATGGCAGAAAACAGCCGAAATGCCCTAAATAGGATTCCATATCGACCCCAACTTGTACATGCATGCAATGAAGAAAACGCATGTTTGTACGAATTTCCACTCGTCGTTATCATAAAGATATCAGCTCTTTTATCGTATCACCTCACTCTCACCATTCGGAATGGAGAGAGATAGCATAGTGGCTACTAGCTAGTAGCTAGCAGCCGGTGGGGTCGGCATGGGCCTAAGGGGCGCCCATGGGCCTAACTTGGTTAGGTTTAAAGCGGAATTCTTCCCGATTTTCACTTTCTAAAGGTAGCGCAGCCTCCGCTCTCCTTCCGGATCGTCTGACACCATTTGAAACGTCCCACCTACCTTATTTATCGCGGAAAGCTCATGACAGTTTTAAGAGCTGTCGCGACAGGGCCATGCGTTTCGATTATTAAGGATTCCTTCCTCTCCATGTGCATGAATATCTCCTCAAACGTACAAAGATTGATCGGAATCCTTTTTCATTTTATAAACCAGTAAACTTTGTGTGTCGGTTTGTATGTATGTAAGTATGTATGTAAGTATGTATGTATGTAAGTATGTATGTCTGTCCGTCCGCAAAATGTTTCACGGGTTCGAATTACTGGAGGGAAAAACGACCGCTAGGCAAACCGGAAATCGATTGGTGCAGATGTATCAATGCAATGTTTTGATTGTGATAACAGCCTCCACTATATAAGACAACCATTCGGTACACTCCGAGCCATTGCACGAGCTGCTGGCGGAACTGGCTGGAAGTGCTAGTGCTGGGGCAGGTGGGGTGGCCAAGGGGGACACACCCTACCTCCTTCCCCTGTACGTGCTCAGCTGGACCTGAGCATGTGCATGTGAAGGAAGTAGAGGGGGGGGGTACGGTGAAGGGGACGGGGAGCGCAGCGCACGCTGAGTAGGATAATAGCTGAAGAGGAGGACAGCAGACGACCGCTAGCAAAACCGCGAGGTAATCCAGAATCGAGTAAATTAAGATGTTGTTCTGATTGTGATAATACCCTCACCCTATACAAGACAACAATTTAGTACACCCCAAGCCATTGCTCAAGCTGCTCGCGTGGCAGCTGGACGTGAGTTCGCGCGTGGGTTGCTCCATCTATTACGACTCGATCAAATTATGGGTATGGGGGAGGGGAGTATGTAGTTTGCCTGAAAACAGGAAAACTCCGGAACAGAAAACCTGAATAATGCTTCGCTTCATGCGTTCAACAGCCATTTTTTACTTTGACACATGTCATAACCAAGATGAGAACGAATAACAAGGGTAGTGTAGCACAATAATAATACTTTTAGAGGAGCGAACCACATGATAATTGAAATGGCGATATTTAATCGGTAGGCCATTTCGGTGGATGTAAACGAAATCTGTTCTTCTATTGAGTGATTCACATTGCGCTGTATTTTCCGAATACTATGCTAAGTAGTGCAGGATCCTAAGCCTTGCTCTATCTGTTACGATTCGATTCCTACAGCGCCGTATGAGCAGCCCACTATTAAAAAGGCTCCGTTAAAATTATGGAGCGCGCCTGGCGAAGCCAGGCCAGCTCGGCGAAGCGAGCTAAGAATAGAAGAGCGGAGCCTGCGGCGTTATCCCGCGCGATCCAAGACTGGTTAATGCACTACATTCACTGATATCCGTTCGACGGGGTTAGGGCTCCTTGCTTGCTGGCACTCCAATTGAGAATCGGGTGTGGCAAAGAGTTGTTCATGTGGATTTTTCATTTCCAGAAAAACGTTCGTCGCTGTCTGTATTAGGATGGCAAAGGATGCAATAGTATCGACAACAAAATGTATCCGCAGCAAGAGACTATCATGCCATGTTCAAATGATAAGTGCGTAACACGCCTCACCGCGAACTCAGGTTTCTGGAAAATATCATCACTGGATCTAGCAGAGCATACTTATTTTTCACTGTCCAAACATCGATAAAACTTACTTGTCTTGACATATTACAACATGTAGAGCAGCTATGAAAATAACTGTTTCCAGGGCAAGCCCTAATAACTGGGTATTTAACCATTCAAGCATTTCGCATGAGGCAGCTCACTGTTGTCCTACTGCTCTTGGGATCTGTGCAGGGACGAATCACATGTCGAGGATTGTCCGGTGAACCAGTGGATTGGTGAGTTTAACCAGTTTTTCCAAAGTCCGCATGAATTTTTGCTTAGTAATTAATACACCTGAAGATTAAGCTGTAACCCATCTCTGGGAAAAGTCCTGTCATGTGTTCATGGGGTTGGCAGCTGTAGCGCATTCGAAGCTTGAGAGCGCGCGGAAATGACGCTTGAGGGTAGTGTTCCTAAGTGCTCTTGGAACTCCGCTGCACTGTCCCAAGGTCCAGCACCTGCGTCCAAGATCCTTGCAGTGAAATATGCACGCAGCTGTAGAGAACAAGCGGAGGTGAGAGGGTGCAGGTAAGCTGCGCTTTTGGCTATGGTTAAGTGTGTGGCTGGCTGTGCGGTAACGCGGGTGGACGTAAGGTAAACTACAGACTCGCACTTGAGCATCCGGCGTGGGTCCCGGCACGATTACCCTGAAGATGCTGCGCGCGCTCATACGGTCGCACAACCGCGAAGTATGAAAGCGGTCGTATTTTGCATAATCGAAGATCAGGCGCGCACCTGACGAAGCTCAAAGGAAGCAAAACAGATGTTTCAATTTGAATCGCTTTACATGACTTGCACAGTGCTCGTTGTTATAATGTATACATCACCCATTCAAGAGCGAAAACCCTTTTGGTCTCCATTGTGTGTAGTCTTTTTTTTCAGATGTCAATCACTGTAAGGGATGTAGAAAGTCTCGCCGTACTCAACCAACTTGATGGGTCACATCCAAAAGCTGGCCACAAGTGATCACTACATGAACGGTTCCACTGATACAACCGGGAATTATTTGAAACAACCAGATCCATTTCCCTGTCGCCGTTTCCCCAGATAGGGTACTCTGTGAGAAGCGTTGCGTATAAAGGTGCCGTTTGCTTCGCATTGCTGAAGGAGCACTGTATAACTCACAAAATGCCACATTCTAATAAGGCATGTAATTGCAGGACCCGCAAAATGAACGTGCAAAATTGATTGAATTGCTACGACATTGATGAAGTGTACAGAAGCTGTTTCCAACTGCTCTCTTGAAGAAGCCATTTCGAGCGCAGAATGCTTAAAGTTAAGGAAGCGGGTACACTTTAGAGGAAATGTCCCCATATTGATGGGCGAGGCGCCTAAACATGATAAGGAGACGTTTGTTCCTCCTTACTCGACTTTACCTCCAGTTCAACGGAAATTTAGTGGGAGACGCCACATCATAAACATTATTGTACAAGATTCGATGCTTTTGTGAGTATAGTGTGGTGATATTCCCATGTTGAGTTCATAGTAGTCAACTTAAGATGCTACTCGCTGGTCGCGGTGGTTGATTATGATGCTCTAGCGCCGAACCGCGCCGCGACCGCGCGCTCGCAAAGGCCGGATGCTCAAGTGCGAGTCTGTAGTTTACCGTCACCCAGCGCGGGTGGTCACAAAGACTGCGCAGCCGGACAACACTACCCTCCAGCCGTTCCCGTGCACTAGGCTAAAAGGATCAAAATTTCCTTGACTTAACATGGAACTTGTAGCATATGTTTTTCTGGTTCTGGTCGTAATTCTCGATAGGCTGGCTAAATAAAACAATATTACTAGAACGTTTATTGGACGCCAAGCGAGTCTCTAAATGACTTCCTTATCTTTTTTTGTGGTAAAGCCAAATGCATGGCCAGCATTCGGGTTGGCCAACACTACAAACGTTTCCATCGCGTTCCAAAGGACAGCTTTGTGATGGCATGGAAGGTGAACGTGACGGCTGATGCATTTGCAGTACTCCAAGAGACATTCCACATCAACGGCGTAGGCAGCGGTTCAGACCTTCGACAGCGCAGCGCTTCGGTCGCGCGATTCGACGATCGATGCGCATGCTTTCGACTGCATCGATCGCGTCGAACGCGCTGCCGTCGCGAAGTCTGAACGCTCCGTGGGCGGAAAGAAAGAAGAGACACTCTGCCTTTCTGTGGTGCCTCCTTCCTCTAGGCGGCAAGGAAGAGGGTGTGTCAATGAAGTGAATCTCTAGTCAGTCCATACTGAGCAAGGAATGGGCCTTTCATCACCTTCATGTAGTGTAGGCTCAGCATCAGAATCAGGTCAGAGTTGTGCTTAACTGGAACTCTTCAGGTGTGCACAGAATCGCGCGCGAGCCGTGCCGCTGGCACGGAAAGGTTGATGCATCGAGTGCAGAAATTGTTTGATAAAGAAATTCACTTCTATTCCCATGTGAGAATGTCTTTGTTTTAGGTTTGTAGTCTACAAACCACCAACACAATCTCGATCGGCGCCACTATTCTACTATGCGGATGGCGATCGTAGTAACTGGAATCTTGGATCGCTGCCAATTACTGCCACCATCACTGCGGTTGGCGCAACACTTCAACCGTTCTACGAACGAGATCAGGTAAGACGTGTCTGAACAACTAGGGGAGGGTAAATTTACTATTAGAGGATCGGATATTACATAGGCTACCGCATCCTATCGAGTATTTTTAACGTGTACTTTTGATTTAGAGGCACTTCATCTTCGCGTACAATGACGACAGTCCCTCAGGAAAAGTGGAATCCTACAGGGGACACAGTAAAGGCGTTGTGGTATTTGACGATGAAACTGGCTTCTGGATGATTCATAGCGTGCCAAATTTTCCATCGTTAAGTACGTTTTCTAAATTTGACTATCGCATTCTACAGTCCTGTTCGCTGCGGACGCTAACAAGTTCCAGGGGTTGACTTTGGCGCAGCGCCAGCCTGTACTCCACCAATTGTGGAGGTTGGGTGAGCCCTTCCTCCTCCCCCCCCCCGTGCCCCAACGGCAGCGAACAAGACTGTATTCTAATTGCACTGAATAGTTGGGAAGTGATAGTGTGTGGGACGGCCTTGTGTGGATGCGCCACACATCAGGTTTCCGTCCAGTATCCCAAAGATGTTCTGTGGCATCGTTATCTGTAACTCGTCCAACAGCCAAACTTCTCTCAGCAGGCTGGTTGAAGACACTGTCCAGGAGTGTCTCCATCTTGATTCAAGTTCATTTGCAATCAATGGATCAACCTCTTGTGGTCTAATTTTTTAGCTCTAAAGTTTGTGAGATGGCCGCTATGGGCTGGTGGACCATTGACGCCCTCTGCACGTGCCATTACAGAGAATAGCGGTCTCTAGCATAAGCGTCTCTTCCTTCTTCGTCTGTCTTCTCCTTTGTGCGCTCAGTGTTTCCTCACCGTGTGGCCACCTGTTACTTGAAATCAACGGCAGAGATCGGCCTGGTGGGGCACAGAATAGTACTGAGTTAAGCTTGTACAGGACACCTAGTAAGACCTGTAAACTTCTGTGACCAAAGCGGCTCACTCGCGCAATTTCGCAGCTTTCCATGAGTTTACAGGTCTGAAAGTAAGACCTGTAAGTTAACATGAACCAACAAAGAAACTAGCGCTCCTAATGCCCCCTCCAAGGCCATTTACCAGATGGACACATCGGTACCTAGTCTTGAACTTGTGCAGGACGCATCCCAGAGGATCAGTGGCCACAAAACCTGTGCCGTTAATGATGGGAGAATTCCACAACTAACATTTACTTACAGGCTCCTATTCTTATCCAGCAACCGGCATCAAATTCGGTCAGACGTTTTTGTGTTTGAGCCTTCCTACACGATTCCTTGGTGATGTCGGAGATCATCTGCGGTATCTCCAAGCAACGCCGTTCTTTTACAACTTGCCCAATCAATTCAGTGAAAGGTGAGATCTTTCATTCTCCGAAAAAAATACGTTCAAATCAATTTCGGATTGCGGTGAGATCCCCGGTGGAGCTGGGTATACAGTCTTTAGAGAGCTGACATTTTCTCAATGAACCACTCAAGCGAGTCAGCATAGGTGCTCTTTGCGGGCGTGTCGTCAGCCCGTTCTGCACCAGTTGTTGAAGCGGGTCAGCGGCGAAAAAGATGGCGGAAAACGACTGATACGATATGATAAAGTCTTGTTGCTTGCCTGCTTCAACAACTGGTGGAAAACTGGTGGCGCCGCGCTAAATCATCCCTCTGACATGGCCCATCATCCGCAGCGAACAAGACTGTACCTTATGCCAACTGAGCAATTTGTAGTGAAACTCAGTAACACCTGTCAAAGGCATGCAGTCAAAGACATAGTCCCTTTTGGTTAGACGATCAGCTACTTTGTCGTCTTTTTTGGTCCCTGCTGAGTAAAGACAAGGAAGGGGTACGCCATTCAGCAAATGATAGTGGTTGGCTATCTCCGCCCCTATGTTGGGCTTGGACTGTGCCTTTTACTTGTACTCTCGGGCCACTCCTAGGACAAAAGATTCATTGATTCAGATTCCCCGTTCTTGTGAACATCGTCAAAAAGCAATCCCTATCGAAGTCGGCCACTCATTTCACACGAATCGGTCAGCTCAGTACTATCCGAGGAATGACGCTTAAGAGCTTTGCCAAGCACAAGAAATTTAATAAAGGTTAGCTTTTCAGGAAATTGTAGTTTTACCATATTTAAGTGCTTATTCCATGCTGGTTGTCTGGGCGGTGCTAGACCTACCGTTGCGCCTTGCTCACTAACGCGGATGCGTTTTTTGTAGGTTATTTCTGTACACTACCGAATAACTTAACTGAATGCTCGTGCTTTTGGGCAGAAAACGCAGCGATTTCTGTGGCTGTTGACAGTTTGCTTCATTTTTCCTTAATTTCTTCACCATTCCGCACTCCTCCTTTGAATTTTCTTCCACTTTTCAATCAAATTATCATGCACTATGTCATTAGCTGAATTACTTTCTACCTGTAGACCTCTGGTTCGATCTGGTGGGTCCTGAGCTCGGAACAAACATGGCGGTTGAGAGCTGGCTGAACGGCGGTGCTGACGATCTAGAAAGCATTTGCACAAGAAGAATAAGCGTGAGTTAAAAATATTTCCTCACTGCCTGGAAATATTTCCTTTGGTGCTAATAATTAAAATGTTTAGGTTTACGACGTCTCCGAAGTTACTCTACCGAACATTTCATTCAACAGTTCACGGGACCACTCAAAATGGGCTGTGGCAGATACCGAGGGACGAACATCGACCGTATGCGTCGGGGATCTGAATCGACAGGTGTGACTGGTTTTTCCATTATTCATAAGCACCATTTCCCTTCACTAAAGCCCCTCATGTACCTCTACGAAGGTATAAGGCTGCGTTAATACGCGGCGGCGTCCCGCAGAGACAGCTAGCGTTCCGAGCGTCCGGCAGCGTCAGCGATTAGGAAAAAAATAGATATCGATGTAGCGTCTACTGGCGTCTGCCATCGTTCACCAGCGTCTTGGCTAGGGAAGTATAGGTATCGATCTAGCGTCCACCAGCGTCTAGCAGCGTCAGGGAGTGGAGAGTATGGCGCGGCAGGAGGGTAGCAGACAGCTGGTAGAGTATGGGGAGACAAGAGGGTGGCAGACTGCTAGTAGAGAGTATGGCGCGATAGCGGACAACTGGTACCCTCCTATCGCACCCTACTCTCCACCAGCAGTCTGCTGCTGGTCGGTGTTGGAGCGACGCTGGCAGACACGGTGAGACGCTAGATCGATAGCCATACTTCCTTAGCCCGCGAGACGCTTGTAGACACTGGTGGACGTTGGCGAAGGCTATGCCGATATCTATAGTTTCCTAGACGCTCGGAAGCTGGTGGACGCTATCGCTGGTAGACGCTGCCGCAAAGTATGAACGCAACCTAAGGTCCCTCACGCACCCCTACAAAACTACAAATGAAACGGTGGAACTTCTCAGCATGTCATCA